TCACTTAGGTTTTGAGGAACCCTAGTTCCATGTGTTAGGATATTTCTTGTATGAAGTTTTGGATGCTATATTGTTTGATGATAATCGATTGAGGCATGATTTATTGAGTCAATTGAATCTTGATCAAATTCTCTTGATTTTTGCTTTAACCTATGATAGATAAAATCTGATTAGGTTAAGAGAGCTTCCTTGATTGATAGTGGTGAAATGGTTGTGCGAGAGTTAATCAATTCACTTCTTTGTACTGGAATTCATTCCAGTAGTGGAGTTCTGTGTTCATAGCCTCAGCTTTCTATCCTGGTGAAGACTAGTCGTCTGTCGGGTAGTTGGATTGAGAGGGCTTGGTCAGCTTAAGAGATTCCAAGCTAATTTAGGATCTTCCGCAGTTTAATCAACAGTAGATCAACCAAAGGTAATTGCAACATGGACCTAATTGAGGAGCTAGGGGGAATCATACCTAAGTGAGTTCCCAAACTATAATTAGTAGTTTTACTTAGTTTAGTTAGTAGAGTAGTTTAGTTAATCAATCCTTAATCTAGTTTGCTAGATAAGGAACTGAAGCTGAGTAATAGTAACTCTAGAGACCCGTGGATTCGATATTTATTACTTGTGCCACTATACTGCAGTCCCTTTCATTGGTTACACTTGGCCATTGTTAGGTGTTGTGTTTTAGCGTGTCAATTACATTTAGCAGAAACAGCAGAAAACATGTAAAAACCACTCTGTGGAACCTTCTAAAAGATGCAAAAGGGTGATTTTTCACTGTAGACCGAAAGAAAGGACAACACACGGCTCAAAGGGCTGACTAGGGGATATGACACATTAGGACAGTCAATTTGGTCGTGGGCTAATCCTATGCCTCCATCATCTTAGCTAGTGACAATGTGAATGCTACACATCATGGAAGAGGAATCTATCGCACAAGAAAGAAACGAGCAGGCTCAAATCTCACATGGCTATCTATATGCTCTATCTCACATTCTGATTCCCTGAACTAGATGCATAAATGACTGTCAAAAGCAAGTGATCAAAACCAAGTCACAGTTGGTAAGCAAACAGTTGAAAACTGAACCCCTACACAACTCTACTACACATCTCAGTCATCATAATAGGCTGTCTTAGTCACACTCAAGTTGTCATGCATCTAGTCAAAAGCCATTCAATTCACTAATCACGTCCACTGTGCCAATACGATCAAACATCAAGCAAACAGCAGTGCTTGGAGCCCTCAAATCTCAAAATTTGGACAGTGGACTAGGCTCCAAGCACACAAACAGATCTCATGCGGTCAAAAGATAAACATCCCCCCCCCCACACTTAAGATCGACATTGCCCTCAATGGAGAAGAGGGAAGGAAAGGGGAACGATGTTACCGGTGTGCACGGACTGCAGGAGACTGGAAATGGACCAGTCGGAATGAAGCGGACTGGAGAGAGGACCAGTCAGGTACACAGGCACAACTAAAGGGAACAAAAGAACTCCAACACAATACGTTAGGTCCAATGGTCATCCCAATATTACATCATCCAAGACAAAAGAAAACAAACCAAAGCCAAAGCTATTGGCAATCCGACCCAAAACAAAAGAAATAAATGAAAACCGTGGTGGGGTTGCCTCCCCACAAGCGCTTCTTTACCGTCTTGTAGCTGGACGCCCATGGTGGATAATCAGCGTGGTGCAGGAACAGGTGCCTCCAAGAGAGGATCCACATCGCTCTTGAGGTACAGCTTCAGGTGGTGACCGTGCACCCGACGGGTGCAACCACCAGCATTGGTTAGCTCGACCTGGCCATCCGGCAGAATGCAGGCAAGTGAGTAAGCGGATGGTCAGGGTGATCGTGATGTAGGAGGTGGGACCAGCTCACAGGGGACTCCACCTTTCTTCCGAGTAGGCTTAGGCACCTGCTGCTTCGGCCGCCACTCCTCTTTGAGCTTTTTATTCGGTGGTGAGGCTGGAGGGAGCGGCGGCGAAGGAGTTAGAGGGGGATCCTGCAAAATGAGAGGTGCAGAAGGATACACGACAGGCTCGTGTACCGGGTCAGAAATAGCATGCACAGGTGTGACAGCAATCATAGCACAGTGATCGAATTCAGTCACAGCAAAGGTAGCCTGTTCATTTCCAGCACGCAGTATCAGTTTACCATCATGCACATCAATAAGTGCCTTGGCGGTGGCAAGAAATGGCCTCCCTAAAATCAAAGGCACATCCACATCCTCATTTATATCCATAATAACAAAGTCAACAGGATATGTGAATGCACCCACATTAACAAGCAGGTCCTCTATGATACCCCTAGGATGCACAACGGAACGATCAGCTAGCTGGATGCTCATCCTAGTAGGGCTAAGTTCACCTAGGTCTAGCTTTTTGAACAATTTATATGGCATGACGTTTATGCTAGCGCCTAGGTCCGCCAAGGACTTGCCTACATGCATGCTGCCAATAGTAAGAGGGATAGTGAAAGTCCCTGGGTTCTTCCGCTTTTCGGGCAGCTTGTTCTGCAGGATAGCAGAACACTCCTCGCTCAGCAGCACTGTCGAGAGATCCCCAAGTTTCTTCTTGTTGGTGAGGAGATCTTTCATGAACTTTGCGTACTTGGGCATCTTCGACAGTGCCTCCACAAACGGTATGCTGATGTTGAGCTGCTTCAACATTGCCATAAACTTGGCAAACTCAGTCTCCAGCTTGTCTTTGTGTAGGCGAGTGGGGAAGGGAAGCTGAGGTACGTGCTCCTTAACCACTGGTTGTGGCTTGGGAGCAGGGGCTTCCTTCTCCAACCGCACTTCTGTATCATCGGCGGGAAGTGCTGAAGCAGGTAGTGGTTCCTCCTGCCTGGTCGGGGCAGGATCAGCCGATGTTGGCCTGCCACTCCTGGTGAAGATGGCATCCAGCTGCTCGTGCGGTTCCAGTGGATTGGGGATGGTGGTGGCAGGTAGAGTCCGCGGGGCCTGGGCAGTAAGTTGGCGCGCTAGGGCACCGACTTGGTTCTGTAAATCTTGCAGAATAGCACCCTGGTTCCTCTGTCCTGCCTCTAGAGAGGCTATGCTCTGGTCCACCCTCGTGAAATTCGCCTGGCTGGTAGTCATGAATGCCTGCAAAATATTCTTCAGATCAGCCATCTGATTATCTGGAGCTGCGGCTGCTGGAGGCTGGGCATACTGGCGCTGGGGCTTCTGGAATGGCTGCCTCTGCCTAGGCTGGTAGGGTTGCTGCTGTGGTGGTGGCCCCTGCCTAGTCTGGAAGGGCTGCCTTTGCTGAAAACCACCCGCTGGTGCTGGGAAACCAGGTGGTTTGGTGGTGTTGCTGCTCCAGGCAAAGTTGGGATGCTGGCGCCATCCCTCATTGTAGGTATTGCTATATGGGTCAAGGCGCCGAGCATTGGCGATGAAGTCCACCTGTTCTTGGGGAGTAGAGGACTCCCTCATGGCCTGACAGTCCTCCACCAGGTGATTCGGGCTCTCACACCACTGACACTGAGCTATTGGAGGCGGAGCTATACCTCGGCCCGGAAGGAGACTGTTGGGCTGCACCAACTCAGCCACCTGCTGCTCTAAACTGGACCTGGCCTCCATAGCGTGCACAACACGATCCCGGGAATTTTTGCCTCTGCTGTTCTGCCCCCAGGAATGATCTCGGGCAACCAAGGTACTAATCATCTGGTTCAGCTCGGGTGGAGTCTTAGTGAGAACATCCCCTCCTCGGCATAGAGACTCAATCACCCTCTGACTGTCTGGGGTGAGGGCACTGTAAAAGTTCCCCACTGTGAATGCATCACTGAAGCCATGATGGGGACACTGCCAGAAATATCCCATGTACCGCTCCCATGCATCACGAAGTGACTCGTCTGGCTCTTGGCGAAAGTGAGTGATCTCCCGCTGAATCTCTATGGTCTTCGATGCCGGATAGTACCTTTGCGTGAACTTGTCTGCCAGATCGTCCCAAGAAGTGATGGACAATGGGGGCTGGGTCTCCAACCACCTCTTAGCATTCCCCGCCAGAGAATGGGGGAAGAGGTGAAGGCGGATCGCGTCATCCGGGACACCGTTCTGCTTGAACCCGTTCGTCAGCTGCAGAAAACGGGAAAGATGCACCCTTGCCTCCTCATCCTTCAAGCCATGGAACTGGATAGAGGATGTAATGAGTTGAATCCAGCATGGCTTGATCTCGAAGTTGTTCGCTGGAATGGGCGGATAGAGGATGACCGGGCAGATGTCAGCAACCCGTGGAGTATAGTAGTACTCCAAGGTGGGACCCGGTGGTGGTGGTGGATGCTGATTCACCGGGGGAGCCTGACGAGCATTCCCCGGGTGTGGGTTGTCTTCGCCTTCTATCTCGTACTCTTCCTCAGAATCGCTGCTCAAGTGGCCGTCTATGCGCTCTTCCGTAGCCAGTCTAGCTCGCTGTTGTCTCCTAAGTTGGCGGCAAGTGCGTTCAAGCTCTGGATCCAACGGTAGTAAACCTCCTGACTGGCTACGGGTCATGCACTATCTGCACACACTCAAGCAATGCAAACCCGTGAAGGCACAAGTGGGAAATAACAAGCAACCAATGCGAAAATGAAAATGCTAAAGTAACAGAAATCACTTTTCTTCAACAACCTAGCCGTCCCCGGCAACGGAGGCAAAAACTTGACTCACTCCTACCGTCACTCTAGAAAATGGCCAAGTATAACCATTTCCTAAAGCGTAGTATAGCGGGTTTGGGTTTTATTGTCAACCCGGGTCCTAAATTTGATGACTACTCGGTGAATTCTTGTTATCTAGCAGTGAACTTTTAGTGCAGGTTCAAACAAACAAAAACGCAAAGCAAGTTAAATGGTTGTTTTCAAGTCAAGAGAGGTCACCCGGATATGGTTCCCCCTAGACTGCAGTTAAGCCGAATTGTAATTTACCAAGTTCAGTTTTCATGAAAGTTATACTGCGGAAGGTTCTTAAACAGTCTGAAGTCTCGACTAAAGGTCTCCAGACCCTCTCAATCTGAGTCTCTAGCGGGCGACTAACCTCCACCGGAGTAAACAGATTGAGGCCCTAACGAACCAAACCTCCACTACCGAACTGAATTCGGTACAGAATAGCGAATTGACTCCTCGACTAAAGTCACCAATTCACTACCTTCAATTAAGGATACTCTATCAACCTAGGCAGATATTCTCATTCTAGGTCAAAGCAGAAACAACAGGAATTTGATCAGGATTCAAGTCATTCAATCATTCAAACCTCAATCGAATATAAACAATTCATAAACTCTGTACTTGGGTTCATACAATCAGACCTAGCATACAAATCTAGGGTTCCCCATACCTAGATGAATGGGGAAACTACTCCATGGAGAAAGAAGCAAAAACAGATTCAGACACGGAAATCATACTGTGAAGTTGGATTTCTGCTTCTGGACGTTAATCGGCACTTCTCCAAGCTCAAGCCAGGCTCCAATGGTGATGAAGATCAAGCTATGGCACTTGGGAACTCTGGTTCGTCGCTTTCTCTCTCTAGGAATCGCTTTGTCTCTCTAAAACTCGGAACCCTTGAGTTTTGGCCTTCCTTTCCCTTAAATCCGCTGCCAGTCGTGATACCCGGTCGAAATACCCGGTCGGGAATTTTGGGTATCGACCGGGTATTATTTAAAACACGCGTTTAGGTCGAGGGAGAATCCCCGGTCTGCTCCAATAATCCCCGACCGGGGATTTTACCTTCACGCCCGGGCCCCTCTCTGTTCCACGGGCGCCCAAAACGATAAATACCCGGTCGGGTACTTTGCCACCTGACCGGGTATTTTCCTCCTGCAGCCCACTTCGTCCCAACTTTGCTCCTTTCGACCCAGAACTCGTTTCTCTGCCTCGATTCCAATGTCGGGTCCTGAAATATGACATAAACACACAACCTAGCGTGAAATTGGCTTAAAACACGAGAATCAACATCTCAAACGGCTTCAGAATAGGGGTGAAAACATGTGTAATTATCGGTCTATCACAGATGTCGGACAACAGTGTTCGGGAAGTACGAATTCCATGGAATATTACATAAGCTGATGTCAATTCTGCTAGTCTTGTAGGTATCAGAGTTCTCTCCCCTCGTCCAGGTGAAGTTGGGGCCAGAATACCCGAGATCTACCAAGTCAGCACTATTGATCATGTCGTTGAAGATGCGGCATCTCCGTAAGGTCGCCACCGATGTAACCCCGGATTTCTCAGACGGAAATCTGATGGCGTTAAAGTCCTCAATAAGAATCCAGGGTGCGTTGATAGCTTTGCTCTATACGGTGAGGCGGTCCTAAAGAGGCTGCTGGGTGGGGCGAGGAGAGGCGTACACCGCAGTAAGAATCAATCGGTCATATGGCTCTGCGAAATGCGGATGGTGACATGCTGCGAGCAGGCCTACATGATTTGAGTCTTGAACCGCCGAGCGTCCAAAGACACCCAAATGACACCTTGCCTCCCCTCTCCTTCCACCCGAATCACATCTGGAAACCCCAGTCTATCACAGACTGCATTGGCCGCATTGCCACTTACCTGTGGTTCAAGAAGAATCACACAATCAGGCTTGTATGTCTGAATGGTTAACTTGAGGGCACGGGAGAAGGCTTTGGTCCCGGCGCCACCCACATTCCAAGCAAGAATATTAATATTATTGGAGCATAACATGGACATAGAAAAATGTAAATGAAAGGAAAGAACAAGGAAGAGAGCTCGGAACAAAGTCACTGACTTAAATCAGGGGAGCGGCAGCATCGACCGAGTCTTCAGCAGGGGTTCGTTGCTCCGGTAGCCTTGGCGTATCCCCCTCTTGATCTGAATTCCGATCAGCCTTCCCCGTCGCCGATCCAGGCATTAATCTCGTGAAGGGTGAGTGTCGCCAAACGAGTCCTTGATTTGACCTTTCTATCCTTCACAGGAGACCAAACTTGTAGGGGCTTTGAAGTCTGCAGTCGATTGGGTCACTCACTCCTAATCGTGCAGTGATTAGGCAGGCAGGCAAGCTTCAGCTACAGCATGTGAACCCTCTGACCCTTCTCTCAATTATGATGACTAGTATTGGCTTCCGTCGTCTTCTCCCGGCGAGGGGGAAAGAAAAACAACAATCATATTAATGGTAGTTCGTGATCATATGTGAATTATTATTGCGATCATTTATTATTCAGCCGACAAAGTTGATTATGGGTAGGCAGGCAGGTTCATGATGGTGATGATGATTATGGTAAAAGTTGGGGTAAAATACTTTGGGTACCACTAAAGTATGAGAATTGGGGAAGCCATACCACTTAAGTTTGAATAGGGCGTCGGGTACCACTGAACTCTATTATATATGCACCCGGTACCACTTAAGTTTACTGCTAAGTGCATTCCGTTAAAGTTGACAGTTGACAGAATATTCTTGGAATATTCCATTTTCTAAATTTTAGAAATTGTCCTTCTACTTCTTATTATTGTAAAATATCCTTTGGACTTATGAAAAACATCACTTTTTTATTATTTAATTGGAATTTTCTTTTAAATTATCATTATGTGTTCTAATAATTGAATTACTCCCTCAAAGTCATATTTTCATAATCTTCTTTTTCTATAGTCATATTTTCTTTTCTATATTTGAAAATAAATGTTGTAGCTTTTATAGTTTACTTATTACTTGGTTACTTTTTATCTCATTTCGTTCTAATTTTATTCAATTAATGAAATACATTTAATTTTTAAATTTTGTTTCATTTATCCTTCTTTGGTCTTGATGTATTAATGGTCAATAGGTTGTATTTTAACTGATTTTAATAGTGATTTTAATTGAATTATGGGTTTGAATAGATTTTCGAATATTGATTTTAATTATAGATTATAGTCTTTTAGTATATTTATTATTCCTTCTTGATATTCATTTATTATTTTTACTATTTTATCTATTATATTGAAAAATTTTCATTAGCCATTCTAGTAGTACTATTTTAGAAGGTTCTCTAATTTTTATATTAGATAATACATGTTGAAATATAATTTTTGATGTTTTTAAAGTTTTGGGCACCAAAAGGTAATTAAAAGTTTGGGTTGGATGGAAATCTAGACTGATGCACATTTTTTAGACTTTAATGGTACCCGACGCCCTATTTAAACTTAAGTGGTATGCCGGCCCCAATTTTCAAATTTAAGTGGTATCCGAGGTATTTTACCCTAAAAGTTGCAAAAAAAATGTTTTTGAATTTGTATATGGATTGAGTATAATGAGTAGATTAGAAAATTTTGTAAATACCATTGTTGTATTAGGATTGGTGGATCTAGATTCATGGATTCAAGTGAAATCTAAACATTGTACCAATATGTAAATTTTAAAAGTTGTAGGTACGAAAATCTCATAAAATTTAGATACCAAAACATAATTTTTCTATAGTTTTACACTAAAATTAAATTTGGGGTATCAAATATAAATTTTACATTATAATGACTAAGTTGTAATTTAATTAAATTTGAGGTATCAAAAATGTAATTTTTAGGCAACAGTAACTAAGCTTCACCTTTATTAAAATAATATTATTTACAATTTTCAGGAAAACTATTTATGATTAATTGCTCGAGTTGTTAAATATCCTTGTAAACATCTCATTAATTTTTTTGATTTGTAGTTAGTAAATAATACATTTAATACACTTATATGTACCCTTACGTACTTTATTCGTTTAAAACTTCCGTATCCGTATTATTGTCAAGCCGTTTTATTTTTTTCCGTTCATTTGACGATTCCCGTAATAAATACGTATAAAATCCGTATAACACGTTTAATATCCGTATTTAATCAATTATATTATTAACTTTAATTTTATATATATTTATTTTTTTATAAAATAATATTTTAATATATTTATCACTATTAACGTACTATTAAACATAACATTAGCTTAGAATGGATGTAAAATACCCGTACGTATTTTATACGTAACTTTTCCGTACCGTATTTTACTAACTATCTTTGTAGGTGATTGTCGTCCCTAAATAAGAAGAATAAATATTGAAGATAAATCATAAGCAATGGTAGAGCATTTTCCTTACTTCTTGTATTTGTTCTTGTTGTATAAATGCCTTATTTACGGTGTAGATATATCTCTCATGAAAGCTAATAACTTTACAACACCAAAATTTAAATACTTTACAACATCAAAATTTAAATATAAAATATGATGAATGTTATCATGCATCCTCGTATCATCACATAATGTATATGTCATCCAACATCATGGATATCATCTAAATTCATGTGTGTGATTGCCGGTCAATCTAGACACCTTGAATTCAAGAGTGAATGGTGGGGTCGATCCCTAAGGTAGCCATCAAGTTCCTAAACAACCGGTTGTCAATTTTACAACATGATACCATCCAAACCATCTCTTTGACATGGTGGTGACATGTATATAGTGAATGGTTAATACGACATGTATGAAGCATCCTTTATAGTCATAGTTATTGTTATAATCGTAGAGCTCTCAAGAAATCTCTATTAGAATAGTGTAACATAACGTAGATTTTCTATACACTAAATACTCCTTTCAAAGAATGTTTGAAAAAGAATGATATAAAGTGTAGATTCTCCACAACAATATTTCTTACCTTCATAGAAGTCAGAATGCGTCTCACGTGTCTTCTCACAGTTAACACACGCCCTCTAAATGGACATGTCATAGTGGTAGATTGATAATCAAGAATTCAAGATCACATGCTCCACTGTCCATAAACCTACCAGCTGATTGATTCACCATCTCATGCATGTTGTTATTTCTTTACTGTGGGTCATTCCTCAAATTGGGCCGAGAGTGACAATAATAAGAAAACACATCAATTAGGCCGACACATTAATCTTCACGATGTTGTAAAAAAAGGGTTCTTACTTAGGCAAAAAGTTAGTTATTGGCCATAATTATTACTTCCCAACCAAACCTTGCAGCATATGTTATTTAGTACATTCAGAACACAATAATGTTTAACTCATTCCCCTTTTTTCTTTCATCACTGGTTAATCTCTCTTCCCCTTAATTTTCTCTCTCTAGCTCTTCCTCTCTCTATCTATCTCTATCTCTTCCATACAAGTCAATTATGCCTCCTGGACAGAGTCTTGCCTTGTTGACTCCGCAACT